GATTACGGGTTTTCAAAAACTATAGTTTTCATTTGATTTATATCATTGACAAAAAAAATAAATAAATAAATTTTCTCTTGAAAGTGACAGACTCAACTGCATTTACTTTCAGAAAATATCTGTGAAAGGTTCACATCTGAAGAAGTATGGTTTTCCGGGTAGCCTTTCAAGAGAAAACAATTGTTTCATGAAAATGAAGGCAGCACAAGTGTCTTCCCTTTGTACGTGGCCTTCAGCAGAAGTGCTCTGTATGTACATCCCATTTTGTTAGACTACTAAGAGCAAAGACTTAACAAGCTAGCCTTTTATCGTGCTTCACCAAAGATACTCTCAGGTGGCACTGGGGTGGGCTGTCACTAGCTGGTGGGGAAGGGTACACTGAAAATAATGGCATGCAGTGCACTGTCTTGATTCACACTAAATGGACACTTTTACCTGGCACTGCCTCTGCACTGGTCACAATGGTTAGCAGTGAAGAGAATACCAAACATCTCAGTGCTGTTATGACAGCGGCTTGGACGTCACAGATTAACTATTACAAAAGGGCTCAGAAGGCCCACGGCTCCTCCTTTGACACTTTGAAAATCATTACTAGATATCATCCAAACACTAATTCCCTCTCAGTTTCCCTGTAAACAATGAACGTGTATGAGTTCTTTAACCCAAGATAAACAGAGGATAAGCCCTTGAGAATAAGGCCCTAAATAACAAGCAGAAGTGATCTTCAAGTAGTGTCAGGAACTGTATTTCTAAAGAAAACCCAAACAATCAGATACCTTGTTTTGCCTCTCTTATTTCTTTACCAACTATCTAGAAGAATTGGTATCATTCCTCAAACTAACAAACAGAAAGCCTTTGTGACAGACAACAGGTATACTGCAAAGATTTTCACCCGGTAATAGTTGGTAGCTTTACGGTTTCTTCAAAATGTGTACTTTACAATTTATCCCTACTACATAGAAGCTGAAATAACTTTTTACAATTAATCAGCTCCTAACTATAAACCTATGTTAGCTATAAACTGTGCATACACTTTAATTAGGTAACTGTCATCTCTTCAGCTCACACTAAAGATATAATACCCCCTCACATAAAGAATTTACTTTTATTGATTCATTTATTCTATGTGTTTGAGTATATTTTGCCTGCATTCATGTCTATTTACCAGGTATGTGCCTGTTACTGACAGAGGCCAGAAGAAGCCATCAGAGCCCCTAGAACTGGAGTTATAGACGGTTGTGAGCTGCCACGTGAATGCTGGGAATGATACCCAGGTCTTCTGGAAGAGCACCTGGTGCTCTGAACCTCTCCAGCCCTTCACTTATAAAACTGTATACAGACCAAACTGTTTCTCATCCACAAAAACACTACCAAAAGCCGGGCAGTAGTGGTGCATACTTTTAAGTGCGTGAGAGGCAGAGGCAGGCAGATATCTATAAGTCAAGACCACCCTGGTCTACAGAATGCAGTCCAAGACAGTCAAGGCTACACAGAAAAACAAACAGAAAACCCACAAAACAAGAAACACTACCAAAAACAAAGAAACACAAACTTTCCTCACTATAGTGAGTACCTAACTCAGATTTTGTATAACCAAAGACACTACAGAAACTTTGCTGATGGTGAAATGGTTCAAATGAGCCATAAACCTGTTACCAGACTCCTACCTACCATAAAAACTGGCACGTTTTCTACTGACCTATTTTCTATATATCCCCAAAATGACACAAGGAGAAACCCATCCTGAAAAACTACATTACTTGTTATGCTTGAATGCCTGCCTGACTAGGAAGACTTACCAGCTCTCATTAAGAACACAGTTCAAAACCAAAGCAAACAACTTTGTCACCTTTACTTATAACTATCTGCTATCCAAATTAGAAGAACATAATTGTCTATTCTTACATGAACATAACTTGTCTTAATTCAGTCATCAACAATTAATCCCTTCACAGACAATGCTAACCACTTCCCTTTTGATGACACCGTACAGTCTATTGACTAAGGTCTTACATGCTTTTATTTACTTACTGACTTTAAAGAGAAGCCAGCTAGAAGGAGACTGGGCAGAACCTCTAACAATGTTACAACAGTGCTTATTTTGTTTTGGTTGTTGCTGTTGTTTTGGGGTTCATGGGATGCTTTGGGGAGATTGTTTAGGGAGGGTTGTTTTGTTTTGGGGTTTTGTTTTGGTTTGTTTGTTTTTGTTTTTACAATACTCCCTATCCGGAATGGCTCATATCTGTAATACCAACACTCAGAAGGCAAAGGCAAGAGGAATTCTATGTTCAAGGTTAGCCTGAAAAACAGAACAACTCTGACTCAGAAGAACCCTGTTGTGTTTTTTTTTTTTTTAATCTACCACTGTTTCTATAAAAACACAATATAGCAATTTAAGATCCTTGATCCTAATAAAGGATTAAATAAATTTACACTAAGGCCATCAAGTACAAAATGAAATTCAATGATATAAATGGCATAAGTTTATAGGATGTAATTTATTAACGGAGGAATTGAAGCTATGTCCAGTGAATTTTTACTGTGACATACAAGGTATGAATATAACTTCATTTTCTGAAGGACACAACCAACCAAAGATGCTGCCAGAGAAAGTAATCACCTGTTCCAATATAAAGTATCTGAATCAGGTGTCTTAATTAAAATTTTTATATATGTATATGTACACATTGATAAAGATATATCCATTCCAGTAAAATCTTGAAAGAAACACCATGAACCCATTTTCTATAGAGACTTAAATAAAAGGTTTCAGACATCTAGAACGGCTTGGCCTCGCACTTGGCAACTAACATTCAGATTCAGTTCAGAGGTCATCCTGACCCAAGGGATCCAAATGCTGGCTATGGTCACACAAACAAGGAATTTGCAAGCTGCATCCCTATGCTCTGCAGCTACTCTCCCTGCTTTGGTTCTTGCCAGCCTTATTCCTTAAATTACTCTAACCGCTAATAAATTCTCCCAACTACTGAACGTTTGTTTTGCATCTGTATTCCGTAGTCCTATAATCCTATTTTCCTATCATTCCTACAAGAAAATATTCTGCCTGTAACCAGCATCTACTTTTAACAATTCCCTGTTCTCTTGTTCTATCCAAACATGGATTTCACTCTCAATTTCAGAAAAAGCAGAAGAAAAGGTAACAGATAAGAGAGGTATTAGAGCTCCTATAGTTAACTTAAGGCCAAAATCAAAAGACAAGAGACGATTCAGAGAGAAAGAAGAAGCTGACAGGGTCACAGTGCAGAACACCTACTTTTAGGAACAGAGTGTCCCTTAGACTGCTGGTGAGTTGCCCAGAGCCTCTTCAGTTTCAATCCAAATGACAATATTTCTCTGAGTCCTCCTCAAGTAATGTTTCCACCACTAAAAATTGGACCTACAAGAGCTCAGATATACCAGTGTAAAAAAAAAAAAAAAAAAAAAAAAAAAACAGTCAGGGGCCTCCAGGTAGGCTCCAGGCCTCTTTTAAAGTAGGCCCACTTCTCTGTCCTGGGCCACTTCCCCTGTGTGCTAGACTCCTTCTTCCTCCAGGTATTCAGCCTGTTGCTTCTCTTCTGAGTGTCACCACCTACTCTACCTCTCAGGGCTCCTCTAACCCCAAGACTGGCTGTGGAGTAGGACAACAGCCTCCCCCTCATCCTTGCTGTCCCCAGACAGGCTCTTCTAATTCCAGTATTTCTCTAAGAGTACGAGAGAATAGATAGACGGAAAACAAAACAAAAAGCAGCAATATAGTGGCAGAGATTAGGGTTATAGTAATTGCTTCTACTTCAAAATGCCCGCCTCCAAAAGAGTAAACGATCTACACATTGCTCATTTACACATAAATGTATATTATAAGCTAAACCATTTCCATCCTCATACAGACATATACACCTTGCTTTTCAAAACTCTTAAAACCTAAGTCCAAAAGTAGCAAGTGGTTTCTCTTTTTCGAATCTTTCCTTGAACCTGGAAGGCATTTAAAAAGTGCTTTTTAAAGACATCAAGAAATGCTGAAAATATTGTACTTAATGTGAAAGAGAATTCACAGTAAAAGCCTACTGAAATTTAGAAGATAGGTACCTCAAAAACAACCACTGTTGCAGAGACAATACAATTCTGACGTGTCTCTACCCTTAAATTTTTAATAAGCTTCTATAAATTGCATTTAAAAACCAGGATACCTCATTTTTTAGAAATAACTTGAACTATGTAAAACATGTCAAAATTATATAGGGCATCTTTTTCAAGCAAGAAGAAACTTTCCAGTATTCTTACTATGGTAATTTTATTTTAATAGGCTTCATAGTATTAAAATAAGTATCTTATTTAAACATTGCTTACAAATCACAGGTCGCTAAGAAGTGAATTCAAAGGCTGCCTTCCTGCAAAGGAACTATGATCAAGTGGAGACAGATCAAGAATGCCACTGACTCTGAATTTACTAGACTTAATTCTTCTAAGCGTTTTTTAAGGACAACTATAGTACCGCACGTCTATTATACAACATGTTTAGGGGCTGGAAACGGTCAAAGATCGTGTAATCTTGTCTGTGTCTACATGTTCAGATACTCGAGTGAAAATGTGTTCCTTGGGCTGGCCTCCCAACTACTTAATTGTAAAATATCACAGAAACGGAACAAAAAAGAAACGAGACGCAAAGCCTCGGCCTGACCTTTCCGGACACGCATTACCAAGAAAGTTTAATCTACGACGATCCTTCAGCGAGGTACTCCCTCCCACCCCCGCAGGGTCGAATGACACCGCGGCCTTCCCTCCAACCCCTCCCCGCACACAACACAACAATGCGGCCGGCGTCTCCGTGCCCGGCCGGGGAGGGGACACTGCCGGGGCCACGCACAGGACGGCGGCAGCCCGCGACCCCCCGGAATAATCCATCCTCCGCCGCCGCCGCCCCCTCGCCCGGGCCGGGTCGCGCCCCACCGCCGGGCCGTCCGCCCCGCGTCGCGCGGGGGCCGCGGGCGCGCGGGACTCACCGGGTGGAGGTGCCCTTCCGCACATCGCACATCATGCACTTGAAGGCCTCGGCGCTGTTCCGGAAGGTGCAGACGCTGCAGTCCCAGTAGCCCTCATCCGAGGCGGGCTTCGGCTGCCGCTTCGGCCTGCAGGACACAACCGGACACGACGC